TAAGTGCTGTGCACTTTCCAGCAATGCATGAGGACACAGCTGCGCTCCTGGGCAGCGCAGTCCTGGCTTGCTTCACAGGCAACCCCATGCCTTTAATGTTTTTATTATTTTCCCCGTATCCTTTTAGAACGGTGCCATCCTGAACAAGGGAACGGGACGATGCTTGGAAGTGGAGAACAGGGGAATGGCCGGCATCGATCTGATTCTTCGCAGCTGCACAGGACAAAGGTGGACAATTAAAAATTTCATCAAGTAAAGGGTGGAAGAGTCAGAGCAGTTTGACTTAAAACACATTTGACTTGGACTGATCCGACTGGACTCCTTTGGAAAGGACGAAATATCGAAACAGAGCTTTATTCATGTTATTAGGAGAGGACATGGGGGAAATGGGCATTTGTGTCTTTTTATTTTTATTGTGTATTAGTCTCCCACAGCTGATTCCAACTGTGTGAAATTGGGTCGGAACTGCTATTTTCTTCTGGCAAGCACTCTGAAAGGTACCACTTATTTCTGCTGGAGCGACTGTAATAAGCTCATGCAGTCTTGTGAGCGTTTTACTGACAGGGAATTGTTGCTTTCCCAGGTGATTCCATGCTCTCCCAAAGGACCAAGTAGGTTTGCACCGTGATCGGAGTCAAGACACCCCGGATATACCTGCCGGGCAAGCATGAAAACTTACATGCTTGTGAGAGGAAAACGTTGCCAAGCCCCAAATGAGCTGAGTTTGAAAGATCCGGTGTTTTGCTAGGGTCCCCTCTCTCTTTTCCCTTTCTTGCCCCTGCATCCAGCAGCCCCTTTCTTGAGTCTGGGAGAGGCAAAGCTCACCCTAGTAGCTCCCATGGGTCTTTCTACCCCTTAATCACAGATGGCATTAAAAAAAATCCTATTGAATAAAAACACTGATCTCCCATTGCCCCCTCTCCATCGCCCATGTGCTCCTGTTGGCCAAGCCAGCCCCATGCAGCACCAGTCCCTCCCATGAAGACCCCAAATGAGTTCCCCTTGGAAAAGACCTCGGATGTCTGCCTGCCTATTTGGGCAGTTGCCTGCCCTTTTGGGTGTCAGTTGGACTCAGGCGTGGTGAGTAAGGCTTGCGGGATGCTTCCTGCCCCACGGGAGCCTGAGGAGCTGCAGATCCACCTTGCCCTCCCAGCAGGGTCATTGGCCTGGCACTGTCCCCTTGGAGACCCACTTTTACCCTTTTTTTTCTCTTTTCTTGTAGAAGTGAGGATGGATACGCTGGTGTGTGCAACAGGCAGTGCGAGAGAGAAAGTCCCGCTCGGGCTTCCCTCCCATGGAGGCTATAGGGTTTGGTTTTAAGGCATCCTTGCTTTGAATGAAGACATCAATAACGGTAGTCTCCGTAACTTTGTAGTGGTGTTGTCCTCCTGAGGCCCAGGCATGCCTCTTCTGCCCGGTCAGTGTGTGACTGTGGTCAAGGTCCACCCCAAACAGTGTGTGTGGCTGCAAACCTTCATAAGTTATGGTGAAGTAAGGAAGGGAGAGGGAGGGCAAGAGACCGATAAATGGCAGTTTGGCTGAAATTCTTGACCTTGAAGTCATTTGAGGCTTGTTAATATGGTGGGGCGATCTCACCTGCTTTTTTTTGGCCCACAGTAATCTTGGCTACCAAATCTACCCAGTCGTCATGGGAGACCATTGGTTTGGAGTCCTGATGTCTGGCTACCTGGAAAAGGGAAACGTGGTCATGTGCAGTTGCTTTACATGGATGCTAGACTAATGGGTGGTTACAGACCTCGCGCGGTGGAGAGGAGAAGCCAGCCCATCTCCTGTCCTTCTCACAGAATAATACTCTTTCTGGTTGCCCTCTGGCTAGGGTGCACTAAAATATATTAATATATGAGATGTACATGTAAATATGTTTCCCAAAGACGGGATGTGCACAGAGTTGTTTGCTGCAGAGCACTCATGCCTGTCTTCCATTTGCATCAGGATGAAGCTACCTGGATGTTTAATGAGTTTAATTTTCAATGCCATGCAGCAGGTTTATAACTGATGTTTTAGTAATTTATTGAACAGAAGCAGATAAATTTCATTGTTCCTTCTACAGCAATGAGCATCACATAGGACTAATTGTTCATTTAGGCTTGACAAGACTTCCTCATCCATTGGGGTTGTCTCAGATTTTTTTCCCTTTCCTTCTTTAATGAAGTAAAACCTCTTAGTTGTCCTGAATTGTAAAGTAGGGAGTCAATGTAGAATTTTGCTCTCTTATTCGCTGTTGCATCATCTCTTGTGTAATAAATTTTAGCACTTACAAAACCAATATGATCACAATGTCTTTAGATGCATGAAATGTTTCCCCTTGCATTAGTTGCTGCCTTTCTAAGAAAAGCAATTTACGAATGAAGTGGACGCCAGGAAAGTCTGGGGGATTTGAGACTTCACAGCTAATGGTCAAAATGGTAAAATGCCCTTTAATTGAGCAGTCAGTTTGCTGTCAGTCATCAGTGGAAGCCACATATTGTTTAGTGTTGGGAAAAGCCTGCGTGTTTCAGGATGAACAACCAAAAAGCCCTTGGATATTGCCTGTGCTATAATTCACAGTTCCCAGTTCAACTCTAGTCCTGCCAGTGCTCAGGGCACCAACAGATGGGCTTTGTCACATTCAATCCTGGTGGTATAAGGTGTCATGGCCCCCAACCTTCCATCTGCTTCAGCTGCCGGAGGTTTCTGTCCCCGTCACCGGCAGCAGAAATGAATATGCGGCTATGCCTCGGCTAGCGTAATCGGCAGGATGTGCTTCAGCCAGCCAGACAGGAGGGACTTGCTCTATTTAGTGCACCGAATTGTCAAGCAAAGTCACTCTGGGATGTCCACACGGCTCCGTTCAGGAGGCAGCAGCCCCTGGCAGAAGCAGGCTGTAGCCCCGAGCATCCCCAGTGGTGTCATTTCGTCTGCCGGTCAGAGGTGATGTATGGGCGCTTGGGAGCTTGCCCTCGGGCGACACGAGACGACCTGACGATGAGGATCCCGTTGGTGATGGGCCCTTTGATCCTTTAAAATATTAAGATTCAGAGAGGCCTTTCCTTCATGTTCCATAAGGAAAACAAATGCCTGAATACCCAAAAGGAAGGGAACGGTGGAAATGAACATTTTGCTCCAGGACCCTCAGGTGGGGCAGAAACCCTGTTGAGGTGGTTTGCCCGTTCTCACTGGTGTACGTGGAGTGCTTTCAAGTGACTGAAAAGAAGCAGCATGAGTAAAATCAGGATGAAAAGTGAGAATTTAATCTACTGTGTCTGTGTAACTGAAGTTCTGTTCTGACATTGGTTTGTGACATGCAGAGATGATTGCCGAGGCAACGACCTGAGGTCTGCACCCTTCTAAACTGTAGAAATCTGTCTTAGAAATCTGGATCTAAATGTTGCATCTTGCGCTTATCTCTAATAATATGTTAATTGCTTTAAAAAGTGATATCGAAGTGATTCTTATTAAATATATGATTTGAGCCTTGCCTCTTGAGTGATTTTAAAAAGATTCACTGCTGATGAGATACAGAGGCAGTCATTCTTCTCTGTTACTTATTTAATAGAAAAGTGCTGCTGTTTTAGTGGAACTTCCATTTTAAAAAGAAATGGAAATGAAGGTGAAATCAAGAGAGATGGCCAATGCAGATTAACCTCCCATTTCATCCATCCCTGCTGACTGCCACTCACCAAGACAACGCAGTTACGTTCAAGAAACTGAAAAGAGACATTACATGGTAAAAAAACATCGCTTGCAAATGCA